CAACTATCATATCATTTATTTTGGATTCTCTAATGTAACAATACATGTGGCTAGAGTTTTGCAAACGTTGAATTCCTCCGCATTATTTCGATTGCTTCCTATCATCTCATAGCCGGTTGGGCTAACAAAATATCGCAATCATGTTTGGCGTTTAATATACATCCCAGTCGTTGAATTTGGAACTCCTCTGCATTGATTCCGTTGCTTCCAACTCTGTGGACAGATTCCAGATTCTGTGGACAAACTAAATGACTTATTTGTGTCTGAAATCTACCATACATCCCAGTCGTTGAATCCTGATCTCCCCTGCAATGATTCGATGGCTTCCATCCATTGTATCCTCTATTCAAAAAAATATATTGGTTTCTTTTCGTATATTCAAGGCTCTAATTGCCTTATTTAAAATCTGTAACAAGCAAATAGGACTGTCGATGTCTCCCCAACATTTCTTCAAACCGTCATTGAATCCTGCCTGTCCTAATCTCCTGTAGAACTTCTACAAACTTTATTTTCTCATACCAGATTTTCCAGTGCTCAAATCTTACTCAGTTCCGGATCCACATATTAGACATAGTGACATTTTCGAACTTTGGACACCTGCAAAGCTTTTTTATTCGGAACATCATTAAATTCTGCCGACCGTAAGATCCTGTGCTCAAAAATTACTCGGTCGCGGATCCACTAATTGGACTTAATGACATTTTCAAGCTTTGAATTGTTGTAAAACTTTTGATTCGGATCATTATTGAATCCTGTCGGACCTATTTTTTTTAAAACTTCTAAAAAACCTTTATTTTCTTAAATCAGATTCTTCAGAACTCCCATAAGACTCTTAAATATCTATTAGACCACCAACGACTTCCAAACCTTCCAACAATCACTCTCTTAATCTCTCCATTACCCACTCAGTTCCGGATCCATATATTAAACGCTTTGGCATTTTCAAACTTTGAATTCTTGGAAAGCTTTTTATTTGGATCATCATTGAATCCTGTCGAGCCCGATCTTTTTTAGAACCTCTACAACCTTTATTTTCTCAAATCAGATTCTTCAGAACTCCCACAAGGCTCTTGACAAACTTTCACACCTTCAAGGACTTTCAAATCTTTCAACAACCACTCTCTAAATCTCTCCATTACCCACTCAGTTCCGGATCCATATATTAAACGCTTTGGCATTTTCAAGCATTGAATTCTTGCAAAGCTTTTTATTTGGAACATCATTGAATCCTATCGAGCCTGATCTTTTTTAGAACCTCTACAAAGATTGTTTTCTCACATCCGATTCTCCAGAACTCCCACAAGGCTCTGGATAATCTTTGAGACTTTCAACGACTTCCAAATCTTCCAACAACCACTTTTTTTAGTCTACCCATTACCGCCAATTCTAGCAAAGATTTTTATTTGGATCATCATTGAATCCTGTCGAGCCTGATCTTTTTTAGAACCTCTAAGCACTTTATTTGCTCATATCCGATTCTCCAGAACCCCCACAAGGCTCTGGATAATCTTTGAGACCTCCAACGACTTCCAAATCTTCCAACAACCAATTTTTTAAGTCTACCCATTACCGCCAATTCTAGCAAAGATTTTTATATGGATCATCATTGAATCCTGTCGAGCCTGATCTTTTTTAGAACTTCTACGCACTTTATTTTCCCACATCAGATTCTCCAGAACTCCCACAAAGCTCTGGATAATCTTTGATACCTCCAACGACTTCCAAATCATTTAATATCCTCCTTTTTAATCTCCCCATTACCCATTCCAGCCGCTACCAACAAAATACTGTATCACTTTCATCATGGAGGAGAGCTCACGCTGAAGTGTGAAGAAATTAATGTCTGTCTTTAGGTTTTCCAAAGTTAATGGCAAAATAAAACCCCCCCAGTTGATATGTTCCACATTGTGCCACATAAAAATTATCCAATTGACACGCAATGCTGTTGGTCCATCGAATCATCAGTCAGTCAGCCAGCCAGCCAGGCGTATTATCAATTCATTTGGGCGTATGGATTGCATGTCTTCATAATTTCTGTTTTGGCCAAAGGCAGAGATCTTTAAAAAAAAATATTGGCAGTTGCTGGAAAGGCATAGCTCGGGGTTCGGTTTAAGTGGAGCTATGCTACATATTTTTGTTATTTATTGTTATTATTTTTTACGATTTTCTGTTGTGGTTGTTGTTTGATTTTCCCTGGCAAAATTTTCATTGCTGACATTTGCTTAGAGTCTCATATTTATTTGCCCATAACATTCGCAATCAATTAAATTGAATTTAACTTAAATGCAATTGGAATGGCGGCGGTGCTGGTGGTGGTGGTGGTTATGGAGATAGAGATGGTTATGACTGCAGCGGCAGCTATGGCACGACATGCCATACTACACACTGGGGGAGTAGTCACGGAGGTAAGGTATACAGGCAATTGATGATGTTTATAGTTAGTGTTGGTGGTGGCAGTGTTGTTGGTTGGTTGCTGGGTTGGGGCTGTGCCCAGCTGTCACGTTTCGACTACATCACAAAACAAATCATATGAACACTTTTCGAACAACAACAGCAACAGAAGAAAAAAAATCCGACTATGTTTTAAAAACGGACTTGATTTAGTAGCCAATCTTAGAGCCCTACCCAACCCAAAACTAGATGTTCATGCAAGCTCCAAACGTTCTTTAAATGATTTGATATTCTTGGCAGGCAAGTTATATGGAGATATTTGTTTGTTTGTTTGTCCCAAAGAGGTTTTCCCCTGCCATCAAATTAAGGTCACATCCATTATGCCCACATTAAGCTTAATGGGATGGCTTAAATCAAGGAGATACTTTTTTTTGGGGTTTGAAGGAAAGGCAGTAAATATGACAAATTAAGGTAGAGGCAAGTGGAGATTAAGCTTCAATATTCAAGGTAAATTGATTGGATTTCAATTGTGCCAGATTTCGAAAATTTGGTAAACTTCCGAGGATATTCTATGGGTCTTTAAGATTCTGGTGATTCATAACTCCTGATCGATCTGAATTGATAAGGGTGCTTCCTCAAACATGGCTAAATCGATTCGATTCCATGGAGTAACGAAATATTGCAATCAATGAAGTTCCGATCTTCTCCATTCGTTTGATTCGTTTGCTCTTAACCATCCCAGTATCGATTCAGGATTCCATGGATTAATAAAATATCCCATTCATAGCGGGATTTTTGCAAATATTCCTATTCCGATGCATTGATTCCTTAAAAAAATATCTCAATCATTTCGTTGAGACCGATTCTTCTCCGCATTGATTTGGTTGCTCTCAACCATCCCAGTAACGTTTCAGGATTTCATGGACTAATAAAATATCCCAATCATAGCGGAATGTTTGCAAATGTTTCTCTAGTTGTATCCCGATCTCCGCCGCATTGATGTTGTTGCTTCCAACATGTCAGGAGTCTATTTTTATGCGTCTAACGTTGAACGCTGGTCTCTTCTGCATTGATTCGGTTGCTCTCAACCATCCCAGTATAGTTTCAGGATTTCATGGACTACTATAATATCCCAAACATGTCTGGAGTTTTGCAAACGTTCCTATATTTGAATCCGGATATTCTTTCCATTAATTCCGCCTGGGTTTGTTCATATTTCTATCACTGAATCTTGATCTGATCCGGATTGATTCGGTAGCTTCCCACCAACCTATTATCGATTCTTCGAAAAAAATATCCCCATAATTTCGTTGAGTCCCTAACTTCTCCGCATAGATTCAGTTGCTCTTAACCATCCCAGCATCGATTCAGGATTCCATGGACCAATAAAGTATCCCAATCATGTCTGGATTTTTTCAAACGTTCCTTTAATCGAATCCTGATATTTTTCGCATTGATTCTGCTGCTTCCAACATGTCTGGAGTCTTTCATGCGGCTATCGTTGACTGCCGGTCTCTTCTGCATTGATTCGATTGCTTCCAACTATCCTGTCATCGATTTCATGGACTAACAAAATATCTCAATCGTTTCGTTGAGTCCCGATCTTCTGCACATTGATTCGCGATCTTCTGCACCATGGACTACTAAAATAATATCCCAAACATGTCTGTCATTTTTGAAGTTTAATATACGTCCCGTGTTTGATCTCGTCTGCATTGATCCTATATCTCAATCGTGTCAGGATTGCTTTTAGCTATCGTATATCATCGATTCAGGATCCCGAACTCCTCTGCATTAATGTCTGGAATTTTGCATATGCCCGTCGTTTAATCCCGATCTCCTCTGCATTGATTTGGTTGCTTCCAACATCCTATTTTCTTCCTTATTTGTTCAGTTGCTTCTGTGGACTTTTTCGAATTACCAACATGTCGTTTGTTCATAGGTTTATCGCAGAAGTTATATTGCAAACCTCCCTGCCGTTGAATCGTGACCTCCCCAGCGTTTTTGATATTACCATCGAATCCTACAATCCCATCAGAACTTATCACCCTTTCTTCTTTAACATTAGATTTATGATTCTTCATTTCTGATAGAGTTCGGATCCATATATAAGCCGTAATGAAATTTTTTAGGTATTCTCGTTAGAGGTTTTTTTTTAAGTTTTGCAAGAGCAGATAGTTAAAAAATTTTATCATGACATATATATATGGGTCCGCAACTACCAGAAATGAGCCTTGACGAATCTTTTATGAAAATTGAAAGTGAGAAAAGCTCTGATGGAGACTAGGATCCACGGAATACGATGGTAATCCGGATTAACTTTGGAATCAACTTCAATTTGGACATCTGCCACCATTTAACCTAAACAAATCTCCTAGTTCTCAACTCGTTCCGTAACGGTATTCCTATAAATTTTTAGCACTTACTTCTCTACGTTTTGCTGACCATTTTTGGTATATCAGAAAGCCTTTGTGGTTAAATGGAACTCCATCCTCCTTCTTAGAATTTTGACACTCCCTATCATATCTATAATGAGAACTCCCCAAAGAGGTCTCATTCTCTTCTCTTCAATTTTTTTGGCTTTTAATGAATTTTTATTCTGAACTTACCTAAATGGTTTTTAGATTCTCTTCAATCATTTGCAGTTCGGGTTGCTTTGACGTTTATCATTCGAAAAAAATCTGAAAGTAAAACAAAAAACACACATAGAATAAATTTTAGATTGTTTGTTTAAGACATACTTAGCAAACAAGAATTTTTCAAATTCATTTCATTACACAAATGACATACTCACACAAACAGAGAGAACTATGAGTCAAGATCTAGACAAGCGTGGTTGAAATAGCTGCTAGTATTTGAGGTGGAATTTCGTTTTCACATATGAATTGTGAGAATACCATGAGATTTATAAATGATAGTTAAATGAGAACAATGGAAACGTGTAGAACTACTTAAGAACAATAAATTATAGAGAATGCTAAGGGTCAAGAAGTGTGTGGGAGGGAGGGCAAGGAAGAAAGCAATTATTTGTAAAGTAAAGAGGGTGCTACGGAGATCTTAAGGCCATGACAAATCTCTGATTCATATTCAGGAACTTCTTTAAAACCCCTCGTAGATAATTAGCATAGCCCATCACGGACTCGAAGCCTCAACCATCATTGATACGGACCTATATTGAATTCCATCTTTTGAAACGAGTCGGATCTCCACTGAACTGGAATAATAGGGGACAGTTTAATCCCCAAGAGCAAGGCAGCCAATAATTAAATTTTACAAGATTTGATTAAATATAAAAATATTACATTCCGATTTCTATTTTGTCTTCTCAAGTTCTTGCCAAAAACAGGCTCGTATATCATCCTGGCATATTTTAAAAATTCAGAAAATATATCTTTACCGGTCATGCAGGACCACCGTAAGAATATCTACTTTTGTATAAATCCGTTAAAAACGCTTATGACGGCTATATCCGGCAGCGAAGATCTAAAAAGCCTAAATAGGCTTTGAAATGTATTAGTGTGGTACCCTATTTGGGAGGTCCACAAAATTCGGGGAATGCTTCGCCATATGGTGGATATAGCCCTCCTCCGACAAATATTATTTCTTGTATGCGATTTTAATAGTTCCCGAAAGAATACATTTTTCAAAGAGGGGTAATGACTTTCCCTCATTCTCTCTTCCAACGGGACAATAAAATATTTATTGGACACTCTCTCTCTCTCTCCCTCTGTTGAATTTTCTTCTTCCAATTTTACTTTCGTCTATTTCCATAATTTTTCTGGGCAAACATGTCTCACTGTTTCCTGGAACGATCTGAAAACAACCACTTCCCTGCAGAATTTATTCCAGTCTGGGGCTATAATGGTTCCCGAAAGAACATATTTTTTTAATGATAGGTAAAAGCTTTCCCTCTCTTCCTTACGGGACAATAAAACATTGAATCATCTCTCCTCTCCTCCAAAAACCCACTTTCCCTCTACATCCAATGCTCTCTGTTTAATTTTCTTCTTCCAATTTTACTTTCGTTTATTTCCACAATTTCTCTGGCCAAACTTGTCTCACTGTGTCCTGGAACGAACTAAAAAGAGCCATTCACCTGTATAAGTGGTTGGAGTCTGAAACAGTGATAGTTCCCAGAAAAATATATTTTTTAATGAGGGGTAAAAGACTTTCTCTCTCTATCTCTTCTAACGGCACAATAATACATTTATTGGATCCTCTGTCCATTCCTCAAAAAACTCACTTTTCCTCTGTTTCAAATGCCCTTTGTTTAATTTTCTTCTTCCAATTTTACTTTCGTCTATTTCCACAACTTTTCTGGGCAAACTTGTCTCACTGTGTCCTGAAACGAACTGAAAACAACTACTTCCCTGCAGAAGTCTGAGACTATAATATTTCCCGGTAGAATATTTTTATTTATGAGGGAAAAAGCCTTCCCTCATCCGCTCTTCCAATGGCATAATAAAACATTTATTGGATCCTCCAAAACCCCACTTTCCCTTTGCACCCATTTTCCCTCTGGCGAATTTTCTTCTTCCAATTTTAATTTCGTTTATTTCCACAATTTTTCTGAACAAACTTGTCTCACTGTGTCCTGGAACGAACTGAAACCAACAACTTCCTTGCAAAAGTTGTTCCAATCTGAGAATATAATAGTTGCCGGAAGAATATATTTTTTAGTGAGGGGTAAAAGACTTCCTCTCGGGACAATAAAACATTTATTGGATCCACTCCTCCAAAAACCCACTTTTCCTCTGTACCTAAGGCGCTCTGTTGAATTTTCTTCTTCCAATTTTAATTTCGTCTATTTCCACAATTTTTCTGGGCAAACTTGTCTCACTGTGTCCTGGAACGAAGTGAAAACAGCCACTTCCTCTCGGGACAACAAAAAATTTATTGGATCCTCTCTCCACTCCTCCAAAACCCCACTTACCCTCAGCACCCAATTTTCATTTTCCAATTTTACTTTCGCCTATTTCGACAATTTTTCTTGGTAAACTTGTCCTGGAGCGAACTGAAAACAACCATTACCCTGCAGAAATTGTTCCAGATTGCACACATTTAATATTGGCAAATTATGGCACCATAAAAATGTACACATCTTCATTGGAACTTCATAGAACTCCTCGTAAAATAGTTGAACCTCTGTGTAACTTCGAAGTCCTTTATCGCTTCTCATTTTTTTCAACCATTTGCATCTCTCCTGAACGGAAATTTTAAAGACCTTCGTTAGACATCTCTCGAATTTTTGAATTTTTGCCAAGAGTCTACTCTTAACTTCCCCCCTCAATAATTATCTCAGGAACGCTCAACGCACCTAATGGCAGATACTTTTTCATAATTTTGGGCAAACAAAAACCATTAAAAATTTCGCAGTCTTTAAAATTTTTATTTTCCTCCAATTATATTTTTTTTGGGTAATTTACCCACTTCTCTCTCCTCAGCCATTATCTTCTAACTCGCATTAAGTGTTCACTCAAAACACATTAACAAATAATTATACAAATCTTAAGTTTATTTTTTTAATGTGAGAGAGCGTGTTTTATGTTTGTGTGTTTCTACACGTTTGCCATTAGTTCCACAGTTTCTTTTTATTTTGCTGATATGTTTTTTTTTCTTCTTCTCGTTTTCTTTCTTTCCTTTTTTTTTTTTTTTGGATCTTCTTCAGCACCTGTAGATGGCACAATTTCACTAATTGCAATGGTAATGTGTTAATAAAGATATCTGGCAGATTAAAACGCTGCAATCACATACATTCATCGTAACGAAATGAAAGTTGTAAAAAACAACAGAATTTTTAATTGAAGATAAAAAATGTGTGTGCAAAATGATATGTGAAAATATTCGGGGCTCTATGGAGATCCATGGAACACAAATTGAAATCAATTGAATTCCCAAGAGCAACACATATATTATTTGAAACCTTGGAAGGTATCATTTAACGTTACTCATTCCTACTTCTATTGATCTTGAGTTCCGCAATTCGCACCTTCCAGTGCAACTTTCGTTAGAAAATTTAAAGCTGTTTATTAGTTTTGTAATTGTAACTTTGGAAGTAAGAAATTGGCATTACTGTTTCGTTACTGTGATGATCTTGAGGACAGTAAATCGATCCTTCCAACACAGGGTATTTCATTAGAAATTTTGGCATATGTCCAACTTTGAAGCCCTTTACAGCTTCTTAAACCATTGCTAACTTTATGCAGCTCATTTTCTACAATTTTTGATTGAAAATACCACCGCTTTGTCTAGTTAATCCTTTTTAAGGGAACGGAACTCTTGAACGATTTTTTGTTGTTGATTTGCCAGCGAGTTCTTAATAATCTAACAAAAATGATGGAAATCTCCTCATCACCGTCGTTTGATCTACCTCCTACGGCGAAAAGATTCTCTTAAAAATATTTCCTAAATCATCGATTTGAAACTTAAAAAGGTTCGGCAGTTCAGTGGAACTCAATGCCGTTGAATCCACTATTTACGGGGAACTAATACTTTTCAAAATTCTGCCCCAGTTGCGGGGGATCCATCATCAACCATTTCAACTCGTATTGTATGCATAATTTTGGATTCAATCCGCTTCCGAACTCTACGAATTGGGTGCAATTGAATTCTCAAGGACGGAAGAACTCCATAACATCGCTTCGTACTTGAGTTGATATTTACGTTAGCAATTCTTCCACAGGTTATTTGGAGCTTCTTAGAAGTTCTCATAAAATATTTGGACTTCGATCCGACTTTGTATTAATTAATCACTTCTCTTTTTAAGCTAACGGAACTCTTGAATGATTTTTTCACTCTTGGTGATTTGCCAGCGATGTCTTGATCATCTAATAAAAATGATAAAACTCTCCTCATCACCGTCGTTGGATCCACCTTCATTGATTTGAAAGTTAAAAATGTTCAATGCCGTTGGATCCAATACTTACGGCGAATCAATACTCTCACATATCTGCCCCAGTTACTGGGGAACTACCATCAACTCGCATTGAATACATAATTTTGGATTCAATCTGCTTTCCAACTCTACGCATTGTGTGCAATTGAACCCCGATTATCGATTCGTACTTGAGTTAGTCTTTACGTTAACAGTTCGTAAATTCTACCTCAATTGATTTGGAGCTACATAGGGCTTCGCACAAAATCTTTGGAATTTGGTTCGACATCGAAGTCTATTATTGCTTCTCAAACTTACATGATTTTTTTCCAATTCGTAATCAAACAACTGTTAGTTAAATAGAACATTTACTCAGTGGAACTCAATGGCGTTGGATCCCATCCCTTATGCGAACCGATACTCTTCAAAAACTTACTCCAGCTAATGTTACCTCCGGCGCTTCTTACCAACTATTGAAACTCGAATAGGGTACTTTATTTTGGATTCAATCTCCCGCAGTTGAATTTCCTAGAGCAACATATCAATTAGAACTTTGGACGGTTATGCTCTGGTCGGTAATGTCTAGATTCTGTGAGAACCTATTAAAAATCCAAAAGAGGAACATAGGTAATTTTTAAGTTCTTGAACCGATTAGGGAAGTTTGAATTCCAGATAGAAGAAAAAGCCCAAAGCAGCCCGGGATACATAGCTCTACGGACATAGTTATTTCCGAAAGAATTAGTTTAAACGCGGAATATGTGGATCTCCTTATTGGCGCGCAGATCATACCTACTTTTCGATGGATGA